TTTTTATTTCTGCATTTCTGGGGCCAGTGAGGGGCGCAGTAGCATTAGGCGGGCCAGAAAATACAGAATCAACGTTCACTCGGCGGAAAAATTCGATTTTGGCGAAAGTCGACTTTCCCCCCGAAAAAAGCCTAAATATGGCACTTTGGCTCTGGGTGCAAAAAAAAAATTTTTTTATTTCTGCATTTCCGGGGCAAGTGAGGGCCTCAGTGGCATTAGGCGGGCTAAAAAATACAGAATCAACGTTCACTCGGCGGAAAAATTCGATTTTGGCGAAAGTCGACTTTCCCCCCGAAAAAAGCCTAAATATGGCACTTTGGCTCTGGGTGCAAAAAAAAAATTTTTTTATTTCTGCATTTCCGGGGCAAGTGAGGGCCTCAGTGGCATTAGGCGGGCCAGAAAATACAGAATCAGCGTTCACCCGGCGGAAAAATTCGATTTTGGCGAAAGTCGACTTTCCCCCCGAAAAAAGCCTAAATATGGCACTTTGGCTCTGGGTGCAAAAAAAAAATTTTTTTATTTCTGCATTTCCGGGGCAAGTGAGGGCCTCAGTGGCATTAGGCGGGCCAGAAAATACAGAATCAGCGTTCACCCGGCGGAAAAATTCGATTTTGGCGAAAGTCGACTTTCCCCCCGAAAAAAGCCTAAATATGGCACTTTGGCTCTGGGTGCAAAAACAAATTTTTTTTATTTCTGCATTTCTGGGGCAAGTGAGGGTATCAGTGGCATTAGGCGGGCCAGAAAATACAGAATCGACTTTCACCCGGCGGAAAAATTCGATTTTGGCGAAAGTCGACTTTCCCCCCGGAAAAAGCCTAAATATGGCACTTTGGCTGCGGGTGAAAAAAAAATTTTTTTTATTTCTGCATTTCTGGGGCAAGTGAGGGTTTCATTGGCATTAGACGGGCCAAAAAATACAGAACCTAAGGTATCCGTCAGCCCCAAGGTATCTTCTACGAAGCCTCTACTGTAGTTTTATCAGAGAAAAAAAACATGTTCATATGAGTTAATTACAAAATGTATAAATCGTATTCGATAAGACACTAGGTGACGAATTGATATCCCAAACAACAACCAAAAGTCAATGTTTTATTCACCAGCAACAACTATTATCAGAATATCTAGATATTATAGACGAATAAACAATGAATTAACATGAGAAGATAATTTACATAAATTGCAAAATGACGAAAAAAGTTACGAATAAAGCGTTTGATTCCGAGACCATTGTACATTCAGCGAGATATGAAAAATCGACGTGTTCTGCTACGTTTTGTCGTTTTATTGCTGTTAATCATTTGTGTAAAATATAATATTCCATCACTTCAGCGGTCCGACCATCTTGAATTGACGTAGTGCCGCTGGGTCATCAGTATATTTTGCGTAATTATGACGAAGGTTTTTATAAAACTGGTTTCGTAGGGCAACCGCAGTCCTTTTGACGTTTAAAACGGCCTGAAATACCGGAAAATGGGAAAATAGTTAATGAAGCCCCTTGATCAGTCAGTATTGATAGGAATGTCTAAGAGGGAAGATGTCGAATCAAGAAAATTCTCATTCCTTCATCCCAAGTTCTCAGAAAAATGAGAGGGAGTGAATAGTTTTATTTTCTAATAATACTACATTATGTCATCAGGTGATAAAAGAAATGATCGCCTTCGGCATTCCTTCCTTCCTGCGACACTCAGATAATATTTTTATTGCAGTGGGACATAAAATATTTTTTGCACTTTTCCTATGAGTATCGAACGATATTTTTTGTTTTACATGAAAACTCACCTGAACCTCGTCTAAATGGTCTTCCCAAAACTGGTGGTGTTTTGCTTTATGAATGGCGTCGTTCTTGATAAGAAATTGGGCGAGTGCTCTGCTCTCCTCTTCTGTCCAACAGTACATGCTGTAGAATAGAGATTTGATGAGTTCTCCCCATGGAAAAATATATATAGGGGAAGGTCGGGCAAAATGGGACGTATTGAGATCTTTTCCAATTGTCAATAACTTCACTTATACGTTAAAATATTCATGATTAGAGAAGATCACAAAATATTCCATTTTCCCCGACTCTCCCCTAATATAGGTCAATTTAATATATTCTTCGAATATATATAATATTTATATAAAATATATGTATTAATTTATATTTTATATAACTTTTATACATGAATCAGGCCAATTCCATATATGCAATATATAATTTTCTGATTATATATTTTTTCGTATCGGTCCCCGCACGCCTCTTCAAATTTATTCTCGCAGTGCATTGTGCATTGAAATTGTCAGGTTCTGCTATTACGTTCCTAATTCCAAATATTTACCTAGGAGTATCCTTTCCTCGCCAAACCACAATTTCCTCCATTCTCTTGAATTTCATTAGTACCTCATCGTCGTCGGTGAACTTTGCGTAATTTTTGTAAAGATGAGATATGAAACGTCGATGTAGGCTGGCAGCATCTCTGCTTGGGTGCAGTAACGACTGAACGATAGGAACATCACAAGGATTTAACATTTTTACTGTCAATTCATCTGAGAAAGCAGTGATTGGAACAACACGTACGGTAAAATTTCATTTGACATTCATTCAAACACACAACATTTACGATTAAAAAAGATGTGTGCAATTTTGATAAAGTAAAAATGGTAAAGTAAGACTGTTCCTTTTCAAAATTCTAGATTTCTAAAAATTTAATTTAAAAATACCTTGCAAGCCTTGAAACATTTATTCCAAAGATGGATTTTGTTTGCCTGACGAATTGCATCTTTATCAATGAGATATTGAATGAGCACTCGATCTTCCTTGTCTGTCCAATGTTCTCTGTGAAAAGAATGAGAAAAAAGAGAGCTTTTGTGAGAGATACGATACAGTTTATTGAAGCATGAGCTCAAGAAGTAAATCCGACCCCCATCAAGAAATATATTAAAAAAGAAAATCTGGAAAATTTGTACTTCGAGAGGGGGTGGAGGGGGGATGCATATAGAGGGCTGAAAATTTTATCTAACAAGGGGAGGGGGTTGCAGAGTTTATCTGAGCCACCCCCATCCCTCCGTTCGCATGCGTTAATTAAATAAAAAAATAAAATTCTCAAATAAAAAAAAATCTCGAAAATTGGGACTTCGAGAGGGGGTGGAAGGGGAATGCATAATAGAGGAGGGCTGAAAATTTTACTCAACAAGGGGAGGGGTCTGCAGAATCTATCTGTGCCACCTCCATCCCTCCGTTCGCTATACGCCAACAGATGGCGTTAGTAAATATCTACCTATGCACAAAATGCCCCTCAAAACGAAAACATAGACGTATCCACGTCAAAAATATATAGTATGGGCCAATTCCATGTATTTATCAAATTTGTAAAGAATATATAAAAAGATATATGAAACATATACTTTATGTATTTTTTAAAATATAAATTGGGCCAATTTGAGATGTTTTTAAATATATTTTTCAAAATATAAATTTTTCCGTGTGGGAACTACTCACTCCTGATCTTTGAGACGATCGACGTGAGGCGTTCCCTCAATATTTCTGAACTTTCTTAGGGCTTCTGGATCGTCTGTATATTTTGTATAGTTATGACGGAGAGTGCTTCTGAAACGAGCGCGAAGGCTCTCCGCTGTCCTGCGTGGATTCAATAATGACTGGAAATCAAAAAGATTGCGAAGAGCAAGTGAATCAAAACTACTGTTTGAAAATCTTTCTCAATTTTATTTCAGAGTCGAAATCAGTAGCGAAGTGGTAAAACGGTTTAAGTCAAGTTATCTTCTAGTTGAGTTTTTGAGGGATATTTCCGAACCTAAGGGAGATAGCGCAATTTTCGTAACTACATTTGTTGTAGCACTCAATCGGCTCTACAAAAAAGGTTGTAACAAAAATTTTACTATCTCCCTTACATTCTGAGATATTCATTGTAAACTGGGCAATAGTCAAAATTGACTTGTACCGTTTTATCACTTCGTTACTGAAATTAAACTTTCGAGTTGTTCAATACGAATAATTGGATGCAACTCGACGATAATCTAAACAATAGGGTTTTTTCTTCCCAGATTTCAGCACTTTGTGGTACTGAAACCCAGAGATTTTTACTGAAAATTAGAAGTTTTTTCTCTGTGTACGTCTATTATTACATGTCCATGTCCCTGTTTAAAAGACCATACCCCGCATTTCTCCAAACAATCAATCCAGACTTTGGTACTTCTTGCCCGATGGATGACATCGTTATCGATAAGATACTGGATGAGAACTCGATGCTCGTCTTCCGTCCAGAACGATCTAGAAAAATAATCAAAATGACTTTTTTCCATGTAAAAAATCTAAAAATTATTCTAGAATTCCGATAGCAGGCGCTAGGCGTCAGGGGTAACTCCGCGAATGACCCCCGACATGAAATAAGACGTCGACGTCAAAAAATAAATTGTGATGGTGGAGAAATGTTTACCCTGGTGTGTTGTTCCCTCGTGCTGTCGACAAACGAGGACGACTCGGTGGAATCGAGTTATCAATGTCGGCCTGTGAATGATCAGTCTCATCGATGGTTTGGGAAACGCTCGAGTCGTGTGAAAATCCATCGTCTTCACGAGTATTTTCACAACTTTCATCCTGAACATTGATGGAATTATCATTATCTTGATCAGTGCTTTGCAATCGCTCAAGTTTCACGAAACATTCTACTCGAGGAGGAAGCGCAGCACATCCTGCTATCTCGTGGGACTTTCCTCTATCTTTCAATTCATTGTGGAATTTAGTGCTCGAGGAATGTACGTCAATGTAATCATCGCCATTATAATTATCGTCTTCATCGCAATCCGAATTTGACAATTCATCGTTATCCCCAGGACTGCAAGCATATGATAAGATCGAGACAATGAAGACAATTAAAAAATATAGATCGATTATTCGGCATTGAATTACCCGAAGTTTGTTAATTTCAGAGACTTGTCATTGCCGCCTTCCGCATGTTCTGAGTTTACTGATCCATCGTCATCCTTAGGATTCGCAATGTCTTGGTTTACGAATGCCTGAAGCCTAAAGGTGCGAAAGTAAGTGGAGAATAAGTGCTGCAAAACATTAATATTCTACGAGTACACTGGGGTGGTTCATCACCGCACTGCTGTTGCTACATTCACCTTCCATTAGAAAAGCCATATCGAAGGGTTACGTCTTCATGATATTCTCACCTGAGCAGATATTTACAGCCGTAGGACTAGAATTTTTCTCTTAAATTTTAATCATTGAAGTAATCATCAATTTAAATATTCAAATTTCGAATTATTTATTAAACGGTAATTTACTTGGGAAGATTGACGGTTATTTGGATAATCGGAAATTCTTTATAAGAAATTTAGTATTATTTACTTAATATTATTTTCAAATGATGGTATAAAGCTGCCTTTTTGAAGTCTAAATTCCGATTTTCATGACGAATAAGAAGCAACCAGATATCATATCGGCGTTAAGCGTAAATTACGTTTAGCAAATCGTAAATTACACTTAGCAAAACGTCATTTACGTTTAGGTTTTTCTGTGCGTAAGAAACCTTCTCATATTTGAATTATTACTGAATTTTGTCTCGTTCGATCACTGGTATTTAACGACCCTAATTCGCTCGATGCTACACTGTGCGTCTAGATAGAACTGACAGGCAAGCGAAAATACGATGAAGTGATGATTGACCCCAGTACACTCATAGAGGAACGATTACGAACTGTTTCTCATAAATTACTCACTTGTAGTTCATTAACTCCTGAGGCTGGAGTGCAACAACGCTGTCATAAAAAAATTGAATATCATAGCGATCGTATCCTTTTACCCCAACAGGACTGTCTGGTTCGCAAAAAATTACGGTATCTGGACCGTCGGGCTTCGATAGTTTCCCTCCATAAGCCTAAATAAATACCCAATAAATATTGAACCAATCACAGTTGCGGGAAATTAAACAAATTCCATTATTCGCCTGAAACGATTGACAAACTCACTTCGATTATCTTCACCATATCGCTAAACTCATGAAGACTGTACCCATCCAAATAAAATTTCAGGGGAACTCCATTCGTGATAAATAAATTAGAATTGAACCAAATTGAACTTGAATAATTGGGCCCTAAATTGTCCATTCTTACTGGTATTTCGGGTGATATTTTCTAGTGCTAATTTCCTCATTCGCTCTAGTGAGAACACAATAATATCTATGACTGGTGTCTGCACAGCTCGCTCAAGGGCACACTACTGACTCAATAATAACTAACCCATCGATTCAGCGTTTTGTTTTCGAGGTTCCTGTTCTTTCCCACCAAATACAAACATTTATTAGGATCCGATTAAAGTAGCTGTACCCTTCGGCCGGGCTACGCTGTACTCTTGGATATTTTCGGTTTTTAAATTTTTCAACTAAATTGCATGGAAAAAATTTGAAAAAATTCATACCCAGTCAGTATTATCTAAATTAAATTTCGCAAAATATTGATATTTTTTCAAAAATTTCCCTCTTATAAATAAATAATAAAACTTGTTTGCAGAATGGTGGATTATTTTTTATGACGTGTCAACAAAATTCAGATTTTAGTCTTTGATTACAATGGAAATGTTGATGTTCACATAAGACACTGGGTTAAATCATGATTTTTAAACATTTCTTCTTTGAAATACAAAACGATAATTAAATTGAGAAAAAAATTAGAAATCCGAATCTAATCGAGTTCATTGCTATTTTTTGCAGCATTCAATAATCTTTGAATTTACACTTTAATTCGCTACTTTAAAGTCTCGATCATCATCTCGATCATCATCATCATCTCGATTTCCCTTTTAAGGATATCCAAATATCTTTTACAGTTTGGTACAGACCACACTACGAGGGGTTCGGCGTACGAATTAAACTCCATTTGACCCTAAGTTGCCGGACATTTTACATTTTAGAATTTTATTATTTACACTTGGACAGGTCTGAATTGGAATTTCGATATTGAAAGTTGCGTGAGTCGTCGCCAGTGATCCTGCCATATGATAGATGTAATTATTGATCCACAATCACTTCATCATGACTAATCATCTGCAGAATTGCGGTTTTACTTGATGCAGGTTAGTGGAATAAACACGGATACCGACGCTCTTTTTATGCAATTTTTATTAATTAAAATATTTATAATATATACACTCAGTACGGATAGTAAGAATACATAGAACTGCAAGATATACAATTCGATAATTTATCCAACGTATTTCGTGCGGCACTTCGTACAAAACATTCCCCAAATGTGATTCGAAAAGACAAACAGATCGCAGGTCCACTCGATGTTATTGCCATCTGATACTATCAAACACGAAGCCAGGTGAAGTGGTATCCCCAGAAGGAGACAACAAGCTCAAAATAAAGAGCTTTGCAGATGATTTTCAAAATATCCCAGAAAGGAAGCGATTCAAAGAAATTGTAGCAGAATTTTATCCCCTCGGAAAAAAAAACTCCCAACGTTTCTCCTCAATCCATTAATTTCAGAGATCGTTCAAAATGATGTGCAATTACCACTCACCCACAGATTTGCAATTTACAATAATCCACCGTCCCAAAGTGCCATAAGTGTTAACAAAACATGAAATTCCAAATCTACTCTATAAATACTGACGAACAAAAAAAACAAAAATCAATCTCACCAATGGAGCGATTAAATCCCTTGGAAAAAAATCGTTGACGCACGAAATATAATTGACGAAAAACGGGAAATGCAGAAACATTATTTTAAAAATAACTAAGAAACCTCCGTCACGTATGCGAAATTCACTAGGAGTTTCTTGCATCTTCAATGGAGAACTACAGTTTTCTTGCCGATTTATCAGAAGAATAAAGCCAACAGTTTTACAATTTTCCTATTCAACTTAGTTCATTGGGATCTTGTGAATCGAATTTAGAATAGGGATCGGCGAAAAAGTCCACAAAATGATTCAGTAAAATCGCCCAGCGAAGACACTAAGATCGTCCGTTGAATTTCTTCATGCATCTTGCTCACCAAAAGTGGTCTCTGATCAACACATGAATTGAACAAAAATAATCACCATCAAAGACCAGATTGATGCATACTGGCCACCGGAATCAAGTCCCAAAAATTTTCAAAACTCATCCTTGACCAAAAATAGGAATAATTTTTGCGACTTGTTTCGACGAAAGAAAAATTTTACTCTGTAACTCCATAAGTAAGCTCTGACATTCCTTAATTTCTCGATATTTTCGCTGACTCTTTGCCACCGGCGACGTGTTCCAGATCAAGGCCATCATACTCAAGTGCGCCGGCATTGTCATAATACGCGTAATCGTAATCATTCTTCTTGGGTGATTTGGATCGCGATGTTGTGGCATCAGTGAACTTGGCAGTTGTTGAGAATGGCCTAGCTGAGCTGTTGTACGTTGATGGTCTTGGTGTCGTCTGCTGCTGTATTCCCCTCTGATTATTACCATTGAAACTGACGGGATTGTATGTTGTGGGTGAGCCATTACGCCTGTAAAACAGAAGCGGAAGAGAAAGCTGAGTTCAGATATATGACTGGGAGTATCCTCCTTATTCCCATTGTTTGTTGAAACTGATTTATGTTCAATAATCACGGAACCAAAAGTGTCTCACCTCGATGTTGGCGTAGTAGTCTTGGGCGTCTCAGCAAGCAGATTTATACTCGAGGGGCTGAATCCAATACCCGCTGACGACTTCCCAAAATCGTAGTTAGTGGTGCTGGCCTCGAAGTACTTGGCCGTACTATCATAATTATTGTACTGTGCAACCTTCTTGGGCGCCTTAGTCACATCGAAGAACGGTGCGGGCTTGTAAGGTTTATCTGTGAACTGACCACCATTAGCATCCTGCGAGGTGTACCTGTCTCCTCCCCTGGCATTTCCCTCATTCGCTTTCTTAGTGATGGGTGCATAGGTAGTCGGCACGTAGATGCCTGTCGAGTAGCTCTGGTAGAACTTGTTGTTAGTAGTCTGAGCATTCTGCTTGGTCACACCGTTCGTCTTCCCTGTGAACTGATTATTCGCGTTGTAGGCATCATAGAAAGTACTAGCAGCTGTGGTACTCGGGAATGCAGTTGTTGACCGCTGAATGTTGTTGTAGTTTCTCTGCTGGAATCCTGTGAAGTCAGTCTGCTGATAGTTCGTGCTCGGCGCAATTGTTGTTGGTTGCACTCGTGAGGCCTGATTGTACTGCCCTTTTTGATTGTTGTTGTTGTTGTTGTGGTTGTTGTTGTTGTTGTATTGTCCATTGGATGCACTGTAGTTATCCTGATAATTCTGGTTGTAAGTCGTTGGTCTCGGTGAAGTTGCATGTTGGTAGTTCTGACTGAACGTAAATGGCTTCACTGTTGTTGATGCTGCCTGATACTTCGTATTCTGCTGATTGTAGTTGTTGTTGTTGTTCTGGGATGTTGTTCTGGCTGTTGTGCTGGGTGCTTGATAGGTACTGTAGTGCTGAGTTGTCGGGGGCCTGAAGGTCGAAGGTGCAGTGTACTTCTGAGTGTTCTGGTTCTGATTCCGTTGATTGCTGTTGTAGTCCGAAGTTGGCCGGGCTGTTGTTGGGGTTTCGTATGTTGTTCTCTGGTTGTTGTAGTAGTTTCTGTTGTAGTTGTTGTTACCATTGTTGTTGTCGCTGTAGTCCGGAGTTGGCCGAACTGTTGTTGTGGTCTCATAAGTCGTTCTGTGGTTGTTGTAGTAGTTCCTGTTGTTGTTATTGTAGGCATTGTAGTTCGCAGTGGATGACGGCGATACTGTGCTCGATGGCGCATCATTGTTGTTGTTGTTGTTGCTGTTGTACTGCTGCTTTCGGGCGATTTTTCTCACTCCGGGCTTCTTCTTGGGCTCGACGATGGGTTCATCTTGGTAGCTCTTCTCGCTGTCGTAGTCCTCGTCCTTGACATTGTTGCGACTGTTGTAGAAGTTGCTGCTGCTACTGCCGCGCAGGATATCGCGACTGTTGGAGTTCGATTGTGGGGCGTAGGTGGGGGTGGCGCGGTTCAGGCTGTTGGCGGCGGAGCGCACGGGGTCGTTGGACTCGCTTCGCTGGAGGTGATCCTGGGGTTCAGCGTCACTGCGTAAGGAGTCATAGTGAACCGACTCTAGGCCGGAGCCCAGGCGGTAGAGGTCGAAGTTGTCGGAGGCGTAGTAGAGCGTGGCGGCCTCGCAGTCAACGTCGTACCAGTCCGCACAGGTTTGCGATTCTTGGTCGAAGGCTGTGTCGTTTGGACACAGGAATCTGGGAGTAGATTCCGTTTCAGTAATTTGGGTAAATATTCAGGGTAGATTGCACGGAGGAGAAAATTTTTTACTGAATATTTCTCTCAGCGTGGTGAAAATTTCTCGTTTCGGAAATGAAAGGGTAAATTCGGATACAAAAATGACAATTATTGAGCACTTACTTGTAATCCTGCACAACCCCGGCGACGGAAACACACACGTGGAACAACTGACAGTCTGTCTCTGGATCGGCGTAGTAACTACCCACGATCTTGTTGCGACAGGTAAACGAGGTTTCCGGCATGAATTGCTGGGAGTATCTTGGTGCTGGTCGTTGCAGTCCCAACACACAGCTCCACAGTATCCCAGCTGTGGAAAACAATGCAATTACACAATTAAGATACTTCATTATACCTTCTCCACCAGTCTTTTCATTAAAAATTTAAACTCCCTCTCCACTGTGTTTTTTTATTGTTTGCATTTAAGTGAGGAAATTTCGAAATTTTGTTGTTTCATTGTCCAAACTGTAATGAATATCAGAGCGGACTAATTAGAATGACTTCTCTCACTCGAGTCACGTAATTAAAGCGATTCAATCGTTCAATTGACCCGGAAAATTGAAAAATCGGCTGGGAACAGAGGTAATGGACTTCGATCGCGGCTTTTATTTGTCTCTATTCTTCTATTATGGTACTTCATGGCTCATGTGAGATGCAGACGTGATAACCACCGGATGCTAGATATACCTTTCTACTGAAGATACATTCGCATAATGAGAAACATATTCATGCAATCGTGACGCACGCACAGTTCTACTTGGATTAGAATTTAAAAAACTCCTGTGGAAACTTTTTTTTTTCATTTCTCCTCAGTGTCAATTATCTTCTCCGTTTCGTTACCTTGATTCACCACACACAAAACACACTTTTTAATTCATCAATTGCAAATTAATTGAATGCGATTAAATAACGCAGACACAGACTTTTATTAGTTTTCTTTATTCAAAATTTGATGAATACGCAATCTCAATGAATTGGGAGACATTAAAGAGTAAAAACTCTTGCTTTTCAACTTGAAAAATTACAGGACTAAATTTTACTTCATAAGATTGGATGATAATCGTGAATATACTTCAGTCCACATAATCCACTACAGTCGTCTGCCAATTGTTGGAGTAAATAAAACAAAAACTGCAAAATTTGAAAACAAGACAATTTGACTCAATTTTACAGAAATTTGTTTTATCACTATCCTTGGAATTTTTAGTCTTTGAAGCTCCCCATTTTTTCAACAAAAAATATTCTCCGAACAAATTATATCATTTCCATAGAAACGGAAAACTCAACTGGAGATTTTGATTTCTAAAAACCCTTTTCTGTAAATCTACAGAAACGGTCCTCAAGCAAAACTTTCCTATCTCATATCGTTCCTGACATGCTCATGAATGACTAGAAGGAGAAGAAATCTATTGATCTCGTTATACCACTTCACAACAGGTCTCATCCTAAAATTGCCATTTCATTGAATATTCCCACTTCACAAAATGAATGAATAATTTGGAGAACTAACCAAAGGCAAATAGGATTATGTTCCTGAGTGACATCTCCGCTTTATTAAAAACAACTCAATGTGAAGATAAAAAATATAAAAAAATCACAATAATTGAGAATCCTAAAAAATCGTATTCCTCGTGATAATCTCGAGTGGTACCGTCTGAATTCACTTCGGGGATGCGACTGCGGGAGTGCCGGTGAATGTCTCAACGAAGAGGAGAGTTGAGACTCTCGGATCCTCACCTGGGAGTAGGATGAGTGAGTGCAGGTGGTAGGGGAGAATTCGATGGAGAACGTACGATCGTTGGAGATATGTACGTAACTTGACGTTACGTCATATTATTCTTGAGGCCCTTATACGAGATGTAGAGAACGAGTGAAGAAGAGTGAGAGTGGATGGGGGAGTGAGAGAGACTGAGGACGAGCGAGCGAGAAGGGAATGGGACATCTTCTGGCCTGGGGACATAGGAATCACTCTCTAATGTTTTTCCACCGAGTGAGGAGAAACAAAAACTGAGATTTCTGGTTTATCAACGGACTTTCCATTTCGGTTTGAGTGAATTTCAATGAGGGAATTTCAACGGCTATTGGCGAGCTGAGGTGACGATATTCGCGGGGCATTTGAGGATCGAGGGAATGCGAGTGGGTGATAACGGTTGTTGGGTCTTGTGGGTTGTTGGGGGGTCGAGGGGCGGGAAAAGGACACCTGCGCGGACTTTCCTTTTAATCATTCCGGTCAAGGAGTGTTGGAAGAAAGTTGTTAATGACAGCTATTGTCTCCTCTTAAGTGAGGGAAATTAGGGAAATTTGGAGGTGGTGAGTTGAGCGGAGGTGGCGTGAGATGAACTGTTTGAAACAAGAATTTGCGGATTATTATGAGGTGCAGGTCGAATAGGGTAGGCGGTGCCCGGAGCCTCCAGCTGAGGAATGATTTTTTTTCATTCAACACCCAATATCTCAGTAAAACAGACTATTCTCAAGTCGTTCTCTACGCCTCATCTTGATTTCTCCAACTATAAATCCTTAATTACTCGTTGAATTCAGGCAATTATCCAACAACTATGACGAAAGCCGAACGAGCGGTAGTCCTGAATGCCGGTAATACCATACATGGAAAAATTCCTCGGTGTAAAATAACTGGATTTAATGAATAATATCGAATTTTCCCTCAGAAAATATGGAATCTCTCTAGTAAAAAATCATGAAAGTTTTATCCAAATAACTGAACCACTGCTGAGACGACTCCGCTCAACATGCGATTACAATCGAATTATGTTAAGACGCATCGATTATACAAAATGAATTAATATGTATCGTTATCTCAGGTAAAATTCGCCAAATTTCAATGAAATTTTCGCTTTTTGGTATTTCTAATCAGTTCTAAATTACAAGAAAATGCATCGATTTAAAAAAAATTGAATCGGTTCATTTGTTCAGGAGAAATCGTTGGACAAAATTTCTGCCACATGGAGAGAAATATTCAGTAAAAATTACGGAACAATTCACGCAATCCGCAATGGGGAATCGTTTTCCGGGAATTTTTATAGGAATGGAAAAGAAGAAATCTGAAACGTTCAGTGAATTCTCAGGTTCATCACCGAACAAAGTACGAAATTGTCACGTAATGTTTCCCGAAGAAGTAAAATCTTACAGAAACAGAAGCTGGTGAGTTATTTCTACGTTCCGATGCGTAAAATTTCTCAATCGTTGGGGAAAAATTACGGAACGACTTGTTGTCCCCACAGCGGTGAGTCATCAGACGGCTGGTTAATTTTTACGGAACAAATCGTAGAATTTACTCGCGGATTACATTTAGAAACGTAATTTTTAGGTTTTTTTCTGGTAATTTTTATTGAATTTTTCTCTCCGTGCGTAAAATAAAATTATTCCTGAATTGAAGTTCCACATTTCGATTTCCGTATCTGATCGTGCAGTTGAATGGATCGATTTACTCGAGAATGGCTCAGGAGGTCATGAAACGTGAACAAATCGAAATTAAACATTTCATTTTCGGTATCATTACAATAACTTCCTCCCTTTGGGTCGGGAAGTTGATAATTTTTTACGAAAGAAAACCGATTGGAAGATGAATAAACCGGTGAACTTTCTAGCTGTCGAACGAATGACCTGTCAGAAGCCACAATGGTTTTCACAAATTCCAAACTCTGAAAAAAAGTAGATGTAAACTGGAGTCACGTCATAGGTCAGCACGAAAGAATCTCGTTAAGTTTGTACAATTTGTGTAAATCCACTGGGCTATTTCGTGGCACTTCATTTGATGTTGTAAATTCTTGCTTTACTGCAATGACATGGCGAGTGTAATTGCCCTAGTGTGTGTCGGAAGGCCTCACTGTGGATCTTGTTTGACAGCGTATTCGTGTAATTGGAGTATCGGTGTGATTATTCGCGTGAAGTACGGGTGATGTACGGGTCATACGGCTAATCTCTGGTTGACCCGTTAGTTAAACGTGATGTACGATTCGTACAGGGCAAAAATGTCTTGTACGAGCTGTTCTGCAGGCGAAAAATGACTGCTGCCAAATTGGCTGAGCGAAACCGAATTATCTTGTCAATTTATCTGTACGTATTCAAATGGACCAACAGTTCTTGAAAATTCCCAGATTTCAGATTGCATAAGCGCGAGAAGTAGCGTGTCACTGTCGAATTTTCGACATACACTTTTAGAAATTTAATTAACAGCTGATGCAGTGGGATTCTCATGAAATCCCTAATTCGTCTAGAAAATCCACCCAGATTGAGCTTCTCATGTTGAGTACGCGGTGACATTTCAATGACAGCTTGAATTTCCAAAGTCATCATGAATATTTAACATTACGTTTAATTTAACTGCCAATAGATTAAGAATTCAGCAAAAGAGTCGCCTGGGTTTTCACAAATTTCAATAAATTTTATTGTCATACGGAACAGAAATGGGATATCATTGAATATTGAAGATGTTGAGAGATTTATCAATAAAAGAAGTGGGGGTTCGATCAAATACAAGACGTCTATTCGTAACCAAAACATGAAGTCGAGCGGATTTTCAAAAAATATTTCGTCTTCCATTGGAAAACGGTCTCGAGAATTTGCTGTGAACTAAAACAGAAGTGGCTCTAGTGACTAGAGTCTAGTCATCACTCATACCATCCTCCATAGTTCAGTGGATGCCCACGGGCAACTGTCACTTCACGAGGTCGATCTTGAATCATCGTTACCAGCGAACTCTGAGACCCGCGCTGAAGATGTAAAATTACAAAAAAATCGTCAGGAAAAAGCAGAGCCAAGAGGTCACCGCAGGAATGTTGTTTGTTGCGTATCAACAATTTCGATGCTTAAACTTTATAAGTGTGATAGACGTGATTACGACTGTGCGAAAGAAATTTTTATGTTCAAATGGGTGGAAAAAGTTTGATTTTTTCTTCTCCACTGGTTTCTCTTTCACATGGCATTCAATGAACTCGGTTCTGGCTGAAGTACTTCATTATCAACTTCGAGTATTCATAATAATGAAGCCCATCAATGCAGTTTTATCCCTAAACTTTTACTTCTATCTTCACAGGCTGTAAGTCTAGGTGAATAATAAAGTGAAAGAATGATTAGTTTCTGGGCGATTAAAAATAAATGTGAAGTCGTCATTACCTTAATTGAGTTTAGAGAATTAGATTAATTGTATTTATCAACTAGAGTTGAAAAAAAATTTGACTTTTCATACAATAATTGAATCAGATAATTTTTTGTAAATCAATATGAATATTGGTAATTATGGTATGAATATATCCATTCGGTCAACATAATCATGCAACTAATTTGAATGAAAATCCCATCAATTTGGATGATCTAATGTTCACGAGAATTGCTCATAACACCATGTAAAGCCTTCACGCGAAGAAAAAAATTTATTACATTGACACAGAAATCAACCGGAGGAGAATATACTTTGATAGAAAAAAATTGTCCCGAAGCAGAATTCCTCCCATACTCACGATATTTATGATTGCTCATCAAAGCATGTCATCTTCGCTGTATGTCCGAGAGCAAGAGGTCGCCTTGGTTGATCCAGTCCTTCCCAGAGTCTCGCAGATACCGCCCCCGGCGTATTATCCAATAATAAATATACAGAATAAGTAGGCTAACCATACCTGCGGAGACCAATAACTCTCGATATATAATACTCGAAGAAAATGACTCCCGAATCGTTTTTTTTCTCAGACGATCAGCCTCAAACGCAATTTAATTATTTCCACTGCTTTTTGTTGTCGGATATTGGCATCAATCACCCCTAACTGGCGGCGACTTTTGAGTATCATAAAATTATAACAATTTCTTCTAGTAATTCACTCACTGTTCGTGTATTCAAGCTAATTACTCATTCTGAATGCCTCATTTTTCGTTTGAAGTGGGTTTGACACATCATTTTGGGAATATATTAGACCGAAGGAGATTCAAATAAACATGTTTTTGTAGAGAATCTGACGACTCACGAAAATGCTAGTATAGAAAAAAAAACAAGACCATTATGTAGTTTCATATTTGACAGGAGTGTCTGTTGATTATTGAACTATATTTATTAATTTAGTCTTTTAATTTAAGAACGCCGTAGTATCCACTTCACCTCAAAGTGCATCACTCAATCCTGAAGTGAGGAACCTCTCACGAAATTATCAAAGGAGAGAAACGTGTCTTCAGTGAGCTATATGGGAATTTTGAACTATTACACAAGATTAAACCATATCTAAATGTACTTGAGTTCCAAGTGCCTGTCAGATCATTATCACTATTGAATCCGATGAGTCATTTTTTTACCCTCAACGCAATAAAAAAGATGTTATTGATAGTATGCAATCATTCAATTACTCCCGACTATTCAGCAACACTCGATTATGTCCCATTGAAATTCATGAAACCTAAAATCAGAAATGTAAGAGTGTAATTAATGGCTATTAACTCCGGGGGATGACCAACGTCCCTATAAATTTATGATGATTCATTTGTAAGCATTAAAAAGTGAAATGAATATTTAAAAAATGAAAACTTGATTGCACAGAGGCATGAGAACATCTCGACTCCTACTAGTTTCCCATACTTATGTAATGATTCGGAGAATCGTATAAAAGTGGTTGACTACAAGTAGAAAATATCAGGCATAGAATTTTTTTTATTCTTGCGTTTATTAATT